TTCAAGGATTGATCTGCAGGAAAAGTAGAAATGTTAGTACTTTCAACATTAATAAATCCTCCCGAAATAAAACCGGAGGGCTTGCCATAAACCATAAATGATTCATTGGCAATCTCTTTTTTGGACAAAGGCTTGGGCACATATGAATGATTGAAGGGAGGGGGTACATGATTATACCCTAGACCTTTTGATTGATTCCTTTTAAACTGCATGCTTTGGTCTATAATATTTGCAACCACCTCACTTGAGAAGTCATATTTTCTAGCATCAAGTTTGGCGGTTTCAAACTTTCCTTTCAAAGATTCAACTTCAGCCACTAGCTTAGCATTTTGTTTGACTACATAATCATAGTTTTCACATTTGTTACTGTAGTCTTCCTGGAGTCTCCTAAAGTCCTTAATTTTTTTATTCCAATTAAGCTTTGAGTGGTTTTTGTTCTTTTCGAAGTTGGTACCCTTCATATCTAAGGTCTTCTACGTCTCTTATTAATTTTTCATTAAGTTCACGAAGAATCCTAATATTTTCTACTTCATTGCCTAATGTCTCAATTTTGTAATGTAAAGTTTTTACATAATCAATACAAGCTTGAGAGCATGATGGGAGACTTACCTTGGATGAATTAGGTTCATGAGAAGAGGATACCATCAAAGCAAACTATAGCTCCATCACACTGTCTGCAGCTACTACAATCCCTGTTGGAGCATCATCCCTTACCTGTGCCAAATGAGCATTTTCTAGTCCAGATAAGTTGATAGCTTGTATTTGATCATCCCAATCGAAGGATTGTGCAACCATAGCCTTCTCATTGTTTTCTTAACCACTACTTTGGCTGTTCCCAACTGCAACCATTGTCCTTTCATTATTAACTCTTCTATCAAGATGTCGGCAATCATGAGCAAAATGTCCTGGCTCGTGGCAATTGAAACACCGAAGCTTTCCCTTGTTAAATCCAACTTTCTTATCAGCACTCATTCCCCAGTTTCTCTTCCCTGTCTTTTTGGCAAATTCTTTTGCCCTAAAGCTTACCATGGCAATTTACCACGTGATATCCATCTCCTCAACTTTCTCAGGATGAATTTGATCATCTGCAAATTACAATTGAGGTGGAAGCTCCCCGGCTACGAGTGCATTGTAGCACTTTACTAGCCCTGCTGCAAAAACAAAGTTTTCATCACCTTCCTTTCCTTTTGAAGAAGAGGCTACATTTGAAGATGAAGCAGTTTGAGTAGATACAAATGATTGATTTTGTGGGTAGGGCATGACTAATGCAGAGGAAGCCAATGGATGGGAGAGTGTCTGAGCTTGAGGAGAAGCATTGAGAGATAGCACATAGATAATCCGAGTCATACCACATATGCCACTGTCACGTAAGATGTGGTCTTGTAATACCCAAGATTGGGCCCTCGAGGCTACAAATGCGTAGGAGGAAACTGTTGGATTAGTGTCTAAGTCCATAACTATTTTGGTATGTACTTGACCCGATGGTGCATGGTCCTTTTGGGTTGCCTTCACCAAAGCAACTTGATAGGATGAATTATGGAGAGTAAGGATTAAATATGATTTATTAATATATTATGGGAATAATATATTAAAGGAGAAATCGTATTGTTTAATTAATATTAGTCAATAATTAATTGGTAATTAGTTTTGTGACTAAAAGAAATTAATTAAACTTAAGGGACTGGAACTGTAATTATAGGATAATTGCAATTTGGGCCATGGATTGCCTTGTATTAAGGGATGGACAAATTCTAATGGGAAACCCATAAGGAAATCGTCCATGGGCTTAATAAAAGGAGTCTATAGGTTGCTTAGGGCTTAAGCATCCAAATTAGGGTTTCCTTGTTAGATAACCCTAATAGCCCAACTATATAAAGAACCCTTAAGGCTAAAAAACGTGGCTAATGTTCTTGTAAGGGTTTACACACGTTTTTGGCAGCCTCCATCCTCTCTCCTCTTCATCCTCTTGCTTATGGTGTTTGTGAGCCATTAGAGGAGTGACACTTGTGACTCTAAGCCTTCCAAAGTCAATACAAGGAGATTTGGGATTGTTATTGCTATATAACAATCAAGGTAACTCTATAAACTTATTCTCATGATAATATGATTATATGTATGCTAGAATTAGGGTTTATAGTCTTGGATTCAAAGCATGTACAATAGAGAAACCTAGATCCAAGCATTAGGGTTTGTATGAGCACATAGGATGTCTTATGACCAAAACCCATCAGAAACCTCGTAGCCCGAGTACAAACCCAAACCACCGAAACGAATAGGTAAGGAAGCCAAGTGCCACTGAATGTCTCCAAATAAGGGGCCTCCACATAGCACTATATCCTCAATAAACCTGCGCCACTGAATAATGTCATCAGGAATCCTGAAGTCATTATGTGACATCCCCAAAATCACGGCCAGAAAAGACCAATTTCATTTATGCTTTTAAAATAATTTCAGAGTAAATCCTTTTGATTTAAAAGAGTTGCGGAATTTGTTCCCAAAAAACAAAGTATGATAAAATAATATTTACTAAATCATTTCATAAAGAAATGTATTTTCATTATATAATCAAAACTCAGGATGTCATGTTCTGATACAGATACAAAAGCATAAACAACAAAAGATAGACTATACAACAGTTACATATAACAACTGGTCTAATAATCAAAATAACTTGAGTATTCATCCATCTTATGCCCCCGTGCCACTACCTGTAAATCAAATAAATTGAGTGGGTCAGACTTGGGAACCTGGTGAGCATATATGGTTTTCAATCCGCAATAAATAATTATATTTACTTTTACCAACCAACAATAACCCGATTACACATTCCGGTTATCCTCACTTTACGTCCCTAAAACGACATCTATCTTAAGGGACCTAATCTAGGATTTTCATCGGGACGGACATTACTGCAAAGGGGTTTCCTCAACAGTAGATGTCCTAAAGGCAACCATGATGGGGATAGAGTATACCGATGAACACATCGTTCACAACACCTACAGGTTATGATCCTACTAGCGTTCCACATGACTGTCTATCTGGTCGTTATCCATACTCCGCTGAATAACTAGATCAACAACAACAACATCGAGGCCTCTCATCTGTTTATCACATATCAACTATCTACCCATGTACTACCCAACATATTAGTAGATAAAAATATATATTCTTTTTATACATAGTTTAAAACCTGTATAGCATTCTCATTCAATACATATTCCAAACAACAGATGAGACACATACACATAACACATATTTCATAGAGAATACATCATATCTATGAGATAGAAGAAAGTGAAGATACATTTACACATATAACAACAAAATATACACATAACACTCAATAGTTTGTAATTTTGCATTAGAGGAAAGTAACTACACACTCACTTGATCAGAAGATGATCGGACAGTACTACGGCTCTAAGAGTAGTATTCTCCGGTGAAACCGGGATCACCTCACACACTAGACTTCTCGCGGGCAGAGCTGTGACTCAGAAACTCTTTTGTAGTGTTTTGAATAATTCAGTTAAGTGATTGAATGATTAGATTTGAAAAACGATTTTGTGTGTGTAAGAATAAATTATGTAACTCTAGCACTAGATTTAGATAATAATACATTAGTTGTAGTAGGTTTGATGGATATTATAATATTATTGATTGTCAAGTGAACAATGTTACAAAATATTGTAGGAGAAAAATGTTTTAGATATGATATTTATTGTTATATGTACATATAAAAAAAGTACATTTACAAACCTTTTTATCATAACAATTCATGATGCATAATTAGAGTTTATGATGCATTATAATAATTCTTGAGCCAAAATGATGTTCAAGTGTTCGGAAAAATATTCAAACATGAAATTAACCAACAAAAACACACAATTCAAAATCTATGTATAAATTATAAACTTACGAATTAGAAAAACATAACTGAATAAACTACATATTACAACCAGCAAAATGTGTACGTTAGGCGTATTTGATGCGGTGTTCTAAAACAAAAATTGTTTTGGTACGAATCTTTTATGACGATATAACAATGAATCAAGATTACATCTTGATTATCACAAAATTTTGTGTATTCCATTCATCTTTTGAAAAATGAAATTGCAAGAGTTATTAGGATCTTTCTTATTCTCCACAAATAGCGGAAAAACATGTATGTATAGGATTTCTTTATGATAGTTGGTAACTCTCTAAAAACTGAAAATAATTATACAAAATACTTGTCATTTTAATGATTACGAATTTCATAAGTTATTTAATAAATAAAATAATGATTTTCTAATTAAAAGTTAAAAAATATATACTTAATCAGAAGAGGTACCGGGTTTAATACCTACGTAAGGTAAGATGTCGGGAATTTAATCACTGCAAACCCCAATTTAGGTGTCTCTTAAACTTTTGTCACATGTGAGGAAATTTTCTCTGCAAACCCCTATGGGGGCTGGGGTTGCTCTGTAAAGGAGCTCGAACCCGGAGTGTTCGTGGAAATATACGAGTAGGCTTCGTTTAATCATTTGCCATTTTCAAAAAAAAAAAAAAAAAAAAAAAACAAAATCAGAACAGCCCAACACAACGTCTCAAGCCCATTAACTTATCCCAAGCCCATTAACTTTAGCCCAATGATTTATCTGTATTGATATATAATCAACCTTAGATTTATATGAAATTGTATTTAATTACATTAGAAGGATTGGTTTATAACACTGGCGCAGTGTAGGTACCCCACTTAAAAGTTCATATTAACCCTAAGTTTACTAACGCAACCCTTAAAAACTCATCTTTTGCTTAAATTATCCCTTTTTACACCCACTTTTGCTGAAAAAAAAAAACCTATTTTGTGATTTTTAACACAAAAAACCTCAAAATTATCCCAGTAATGTTATTTTTCTTGATTGTTCATAATGATACCTTAGGTTCATAATGATACGTTTAAATATGTTGGTAATATATAAGCTGTAATAAAAAGTAAAACATCAGATATGATCCATGTGTTAATGCCAGTATAGTATGAATTTGACAGGGAGAGGACCTGGTCCATCTAGAAAGCTTTTGTGGGAATCTGTTAGTGTCTCCCTTTTTTCATGATCTACACGTTTCATTTGAACATGTTTCAGGTAAGAAGGCCAATATGCCTTTATGGTTTCCTTAATCTCGCTTTTATCCAATACCTCCTTTAGCATCAATCTGCAAAAGTGATTATTGTGTTTGAGCTGCTGCGAGTCTGGCAATGCATATACATCCTTTGGATGACAAATCTCAAAGAATGCATCAAAAAATGGGGATCGCTCCCACTGGCATTCATCCTCAGTGGCTATAAAAAACATTTTTTTCACATTTATAGCAGGAAGAAAAGGGAGCCTACTCCTTAGATCATCAATGTCAATCTCAAATGGTTGCACTTCATGATTTTTTAAAGACATTTTAATATAAACTTCGCACTCGCTTGCTAACTTGAGCGCTTTCCTCATCTTAAGGAAAAAAGAAGCATCGAGATCTGTAATCGCAAGTCTCAACCAAAACCTGATTTGCTTGAGTGTAGAGTCTGGAAAGAAGAGCCTAGGCATTATCCTACATGTTAAGGAGAAACAGTGTAATTTTGGAGCAATAACATGTACCACATCGACAAGTGGGGAGACCAACAAGGAAAATCTCTTCATTGAAGCACATGTGAAACGAAAGCTTCTCGACGTCCAACATGTTAAATCCAGGGTTAAACTCTCGAGAAAATGTAGTCCTGAATTGATTATCTTGTCCAGAGATGCTTTGTTCCTGAACAAAATGCCGCATAAAGTTAACTCTGTCACGTTGCTTCCTAATGATATCAAATGGACATTCTTCAATGGTCGTTTAGACCATGGAAGCAAATCCACGCTGCAGGAAAAGAATCGGAGATTTGGGACATGGTTGACTTCCAAAGCAGTAGAGTTGCCATCAAATGTAGCTATATGTAATTTGTAAAGCCATGGAAGGTTTTCAACCTTGATGGCTTTAAGGCCCTGAGAACAATGTAAAAGCTCTATATTCTCTAGCAAGCGACAAGATGACAATATGTCATGGAGCACCACTTCACTTATGATCACACTCGACAAATGAAGTTCTCGTAGGGACAAACATTTGGGATGATTTGTAGTCTTCATCGAAACAAAATGGTTCTCCATCTTAGGTGGAACTCGGATCACCCTCAAACCAAAAACTTTGGATTTTACACTCGAAGATGAAATTCTTATCTTAGTTAGGTTTTGTCCTGAGAGTATCTCATCTGGCAAACGTAACGAGGCACCAAAAAGACGGATGTCGAGGGAAATCTCTTTAAGACAACTTTTGGTTGCTACGCTTTGGATCCATTTTTCAGTAACAGAAGCGGACTCCTGGTTCTCAATGTCAATCAAAAGTTCAAACTTTTCGATTTGTATGTTTTCACGGTGATACCTTATCAGAGTGCGCTCCATGTCGAGCAACTTCATGTGCTTTCTATTTTCTTGTTCTTTGAGGACACAGAACCTGAGGGTAGGGATTGTAGACCAAGCTCGTAGCCATGATTTGGACAAGACACTGGTGCGGGTGGCTTCTTCTACGGGCAACCACGATTGTATATGTTGCAACAACTCCGGAACATCTTCTAGTCTTGGACATTGAGTAATGCTTCTCCTCCCTTTTTGATTCATACCTATCATACGAAAATATCATCTCTTAGATCAATGAGTTATATAAGAATGAAAAAACACCGATACATCTTGCATGTATGGATCAGTAGAATAAAAACTGATTGATATCTTCAATACCCAGATTCCCCAATCATTGAGTCTCAAGTTTATGCCTTCAATAAGATGCAAAACAAATTGATGAAATATACCTGATATAGGAATCAGCGGAAGCCGCATATAGGCAGTTCGTGAATTATCATACCATGATAGCACACTTTAATGGGTATTTATAATCTATATTATGTTTAATAATTTTGTAAATGCCAAATTTATTCCAATTAATGGGTAGTCGTGCGGGAGTGGTTATTCGGCATTGACTGGAAAATAAAATCATTTATCCGTTTTTACTAAATATTATCTAAGAAAAAGAATATTACTATTAAATATGGTTTAATGTTTTTTAATATTTTGATAAACTGTTATAAAGAATTTGTATACCCATGTGAGTTTCATGTCAAGAGTTGAACCTCTTAAAATTTGGGTATTGCAATTATGCCCGGTTTGTGTCCGAAGTCTTCCCTGAATCCGCTTGGGGGTTGAGTTTGCCCTGTAGAGTTCGAATTCGGTGTCAACATTGAAATATTGTGGTGAGGCTTATACTGAATGGTTTGCGATTTCCAAAAAAATTAAATATTCATAAAAACACTTAAACTATGAAAAGTTTTAGCAATCCGTACTTGTTTTCATACACAGCTGGGTTTTAGTATTGCTTGCCCCTAATAATATTCAGTCTTCAGATTTTTTTTTATTTTTTATTTTTTATTTTTTATTTTTCTTACCATTAATAGTATCCATATAAGCTTTGTGAAATAGCTTTGTCTACTCTGAAGGTTTGTTAACTTTTTTGGTTTGTTAATACTTGATATGCTTTATGCATAAAGTACAGAGGCCTCGGACAACCCCATAAGACGAACTCTTGAAATGTTATGAACACCTAACTGAAACCAATCGGATTCTACTAGATAGTCAATAGATCAGTGTATAGTGATTGGAAAGGCGAACAGCATAAACTTCGAAACACCAAAAAAAGGACAAAACAGATTGAAAACACATGATTGAGAAAAAGCATAAACGTATCAGGTCTTACCACCCATGTTTTTTGTATTAAATTATTGTGGATCTTTGCTAGTTTTTGGATATGTGTGCATGATAAAGAAAACAATAAACAAATGAACATATAAAAGTCCTGGTGATTATCATGACCGATAAAGACACATATCGATAGCTTTATGAAAACAATGCAATATTTTTAGATATATAAGAAACGATTGTGCAATATATCTATCCTTTTAAGCCGGTAGTTGAATAGTTGGAACAAATAGAAAAAAAAATTATTGCTTACATATGTTTGATTAGATTCATTGTATATCTTCCTATTCTAATAAATGAATCAATTTTTTGCTACTTGGTTTCTCCAAATTGCTTTTGACCTTAAAGTTAAATTATCAACTTACTCTTAATCATCGAATTAAAATCCATTCACCTTTAAAATTTTCAACTCTAAATCTGCATCTCTTTGGAAACCTTATCAAATCCATCCTAATCTAATAAATGAATCAATTTTTTAACACTTGGTTTCTCCAAAATGCTTCTAACCTTGAAGTTAAATTACCGACCCACCCTTTTGTCATCAAATTGCAATCCATTCACCTTTAAAATTATTAGATTTATTTCCCATCGTATTCTATATTTTATTGATGTATACATAGAATACAATTGTACAACAACTAGCCTTAAATACACAAGATTAAATAACTATACAGATGTTATCTAGTCTTATCATTATCTTGAACATTATTTATAATATTTTCACTAATAACCCCCGGCAAGCTAAGTGGTGGTGGGCCAACCCAAAGCTTGGTACGAAATCGTTCAAACAAAGGGCACGTAAGACTTTTAGTGAAGATATCAGCTAGTTGAAGATGCGTAGGGAATGAACTTGGTGTATTGTTTTTCAGAGGATACCAATTCACGAACAAAATTCTAATCAATATCAACATGTTTTGCTCATTTGTGAGATATGAGATTTTGACTGAGAAATAAAGCACTTGTGTTATCATATTAGAGGGTTGGAATTTGATCAGGCAAGTCGTGAAGCTCACGTAACAAATTGGTAACCCAAATAATCTCAAATAATCATAGAAATTGTACTTGTCATGGCTCTATACTCGGATTCACAAGTAGAATGAGAGACGGCAGGTTGAATTTTAGTACTCCAAGACACAAGATTTCCTCCGAGGAATATAGAATAGCCATAGGTTGAGCGACGAGTCTGTAGCATCCAGATTCCCAGGTATTCTATGTTATTGATTTATTTTCAGTTAGAGAGTAGTACTTGACGAGTGAACTCCTAGACTCGTCGAGTAGGATCGCGATTTGCTGATTGGATTAATGAATGGACTCGACGAGTCAGCAAGGTGACTCGACGAGTCCGTGCTGGCGGTTGAAACCCAAAATCTTTGGGCATGTGCCCTATTTAAGGGTCGTTATAGCCCTCATTTGCGGCTACAAGTCTAGAGAGAGAAACGCTAGAGAGCTTGAATGAGTTGTGTGTGTGTGTGTGAGAGAGAGAGAGAGAGAGAGAGAGAGCCTTTTTGATCCTTGTTAGTGTGATTTTGCAAAGAAGAAGGTGTTTGCAGCAAAAGCAGGTCAATGGGATTGCTATTCTATGGGTTTCCAGCTTGGATCTGCAACTTTGAGGTATAAATCTATCCTTACTTCTGTTTAGTATGAGATCCTTGAATTTTAGGGTTTTCTATACCCTTTATTGGCTTAAAATCGTGAGTATGTTGTCCCTTTGAGTGTTACACTCTGGATCTGGACCTCTAGAGGCCCAGAGGGCCTTATCCATTATGCATTATGTTGGTCCTTGGAGGAAATGAGACTATGTTGCCATTTTGGAAGCCATTTCACCATGGAAAGCCTTGTGTGCATTGCATGAATGTCAAGACTAAACCTTTACATGATTATCGTGTTTGGGATTGTCAGATCTATAGGTTAGAGAAGCACATCTGACCTCAGAAGGTCATTTGAGTGTTGCCATGGAAGTAACTCGCCGAGTTAATAAGTGGACTCGGCGAGTCGAGTCGGGGTTTCCCCGCGATTCGTGGCAGGATTAACCCGTCGAGTGGAGGGATGACTCAACGTGCCAAGCGAGACTCGAAGGATTCTGAGGATCCACATGGACTCGCTGAGTTGCCCTTTTGCACTCGATGAGTCAGGTCAAAGTTTGACCGTTGACTTCAGTTGACCTTAGGGTTTTGGTCAAGCTGAGTTAGGAGAGTTCAGGGAGGGGTAGCATGACCTTCTACCCAATCTTTAGAGATTAGACTATGAGAGGGTATTGATCATGAATGTTATTCTAATGATAGGAGGAGGTTAGGTCGGGACGTCGAGCACGAGAGTTTATCTGACTTCGTACAAGGTGAGTCTTCTCACTATATTGTACCTAGAGTGGTACCTATGTGTGACCGAAAGGTCTTATATGCTATCGGATGTATGTGTTATATGTGGTTATATGATAAGGACCGGAAGGTCATTATGATATGGACCATAAGGTCAAGATGATGAGGACCAGAAGGTCATTATGTGTAGAGCCGGAAGTTCTACCAGAGTTGGGACAGAAGTCGCCTGAGACACATGGATCGGAAGATCCCATAGACATATGGCCTTGAGTGGCGTATGTGTTCTATGTCGTATTTTGGCAAACTCACTAAGCATTTATGCTTACAATTGTTGTCTTATGTGTTTCAGGTACTAGCGAGGATCGCGGGAAGGTGTCGGCATGATCCGTACACACTCATGGAGTTTATGTCTTGAGATTATGGGATATATTTTCTTGCGATGACATTAGATACGTTATGTTTTGATTCTATCTTATGAATAAAAGTATGTTTTAAAAATGAAAAATTGTTTTGGAAATTTGCGTTGTTTCAAGTTAGTATCAGAGCCTTGGTTTGAGGAATTCGGATGCACCTTCGGGTGTATTTGAGCTCAAACTGAGGATTTGAGAAAGCTTTTCATAAAAGAAACAATTTTTCTAACAAGTAAAGGAATTTGAGGAAAGCAGAAAGAAGCAGTGTGTACGATCAGCCAGCGCCCGAACGGTGATTTACTAAAACACTCTTACATTATGTGTTATGAGATATGGTATGATATGTTATGCATGCTGGAGTAGGCTAGGTATTCATATTAGTACTAGAGTGGCCTGATTTATGATACCTTAGCTTAGAAGATTACTGTTGCTATGAGATGCTTCGAGAGTGAGTAGGTAGCAGTGAGGAGCTTATGAGGAGTCTACCGAAGGGTAACCTATGCGTAGCGAGATGTAGAGTAGTTGTGATCTGGGATCCTTGGAGGAGGACATGGAATGAATGCTGATGCAATGTGGAAGGTAGTATAGGGCCCGTATTACTGAAACACAGGATCAGTTCGCAGTCCAAGTAAGAAACCTTAGGGTACTAGGGAACAAGTAGGGCTGAGTTATCGAGTGCGAGTATAATCGATTGAGTCTTGGATTTTTTTATGTTGCATTTTGGTGACCTCATGGTTGGGACACACCACAAATAAAAGACTAGCGACATGAGTGACGAGGAGCTTCTTCAGATAATCCACGATGAGGTGGTTGTGGCTATCCGTGCAGAGATACCAGAAATGTTTGGGTCTATCAAGACAACCCTTATTGAGACGTTTGTCAAGAGATACACAACGGTTACTCAGGCTGCGGCTGCTGCAGCTACTGCAACTATGGCTGTTGCTAGACCTTGGGGGGGGGTGACTCGTTGTTGTTTCGAGAGTTCAACAACACGACGCCACCAGAGTTTGATGGAACGCAGGATCTGATTTTTGCGATGAGAGGGATTTATGATATTGAGGGATGCTTCTACACCTGTTCGTGTCCGGAGCATCTAAGGGTTTGGTTTGTGCTGAACCAACTTCGCTTGGGAGCGAAGGACTGGTGG